CTGGGAGAGAATGCATGCGAAGACACAGGCCCTACAGGTTTTTTTGAAGAACGCAATCCTGTCGGTGTAAAAAGCGGCCCTGCAACAGCGACTAGAAAGTGACTTGACATGCTGGTGCCAAGAAAAGTCAGAAGACATGGCAATTCCTAGGTACCACATCTGTTGTATTTGGAGTACTGGTCGGCCATCAGTGAAAGGCTTAGTGTCATCTGGTGTTCGGCATCACATAGATTCATTCTTAAGTCTTTTTCGGATTAAGAATGAACCCCTTGTTAAAGAAGCAAATTACAGATCATAGAAATACTAATTTTGTAAAATTCCAGGCTTCAGGCAACCGTAGAGAGCACATGGCAGTGTCATCAGCATACTTTATACGTTTTAGATGCTCATCAAGACAAGGCAATATGTATAGAGATTAAATAGCAAGGGTGAGAGTAGAGAGTAAATGTTGACCTGGAGAAAGCTTATGACCGAATCCCGCGCAAATTATGAGCCTGCTTGCAAGCAAAATGTTCATGGCATGCATTACGTCAGAGCAAATGGCCTTAGGTCGAAACCTTTTAATATTAGCACAGACACTTGACAAGGCTACATTCAACTTCTCCTATGTTTGTGTTGTACAAGGGTAGAATAGTCAGGCGCAGCCAGGGCAACAATATTAGCGTAGGAAACATACTGAAGAGAAGGCTCCTGGTTGCTGACGACGTTGTTTGATTAATATCTTCCAAGACTGACATCTAGGGGTATTTGGAAAAGTTCACAGCCGAGTACAACGTGACTGGCATGCATGTCAACAGGTGTAAAATCAAAAGCTTAACTTTTACCAGTTCTCCAATCCGTTGCGCTTTGAAAACAAACGGAGATGCAGCGGAGCAGTTGGAGAGATTCATGTAATTCAAGTTCGTGTGGTGATGGAAAACGTGAGGAAAAGATCGACCTCCATTTAAAACTGACAGCAGCATCCCGGGTCAACTAGTTCGAACCGTTGTGAGAAAATCAGAGCAGGGTGAAGACTCTGCTGTCCATGTTCAATTCGATATTCATCCCAATGCTAACTCAGTCATGAATCATTGGCCAAGACTGATAAACTTCGATCCTGGTGCAAGCGTCAAAAAAGAGCTTTCTGAGACCAATAGCTAGGATCACGATTCTCGACGTAGTCCAAAGTTCAGATACCTGAGAACCTTGGTGACAGCCATTGTTTCTCCAAATTTAGATCTCATAGCTGACATCTTAAGCGAATGCTTTCAAAAAGGAAGGCGAAACAGCACCTGCTCAGCGGACAGGCAGATCATGAGGAAAACCAAAACAACGTGCTCTGACTTAGAGACTACATCACCTGGAAAAGTGAAAACAGAAACCGGAACCGACGGAAATTAAAACTTTTGGATCAATGCAAGGAATGAAGAGGTATGACTTCGTGCTAAATGCTATTGCCAAACAGAAATTGGAATATTCAACCCACTGAATGGTTGCAGATAAGGCATTTAAGATGGTAGGGTCATTGCACAGGAACTGACGATAGCCATCTGGAAAAGCGAGCACTGAACGCAAAACCTAATGACAAACGGCCGACAGGAAAACCTCGACCAAGACGGAAAGATCTCATTAAAAATTATATGACCTCGAAAGGACTGGAAAGTCAGCATTCGTTCCTTCGATCCCAATGGAAAGCTTATATGGCATCCGGTCTCGTCTTCGAGGCAATGGGATAAGAAGAATATACTGCTCTGCGGCATATAAGTTTTCGCAACTAAACAAATCAGTGAACCATCATAAGTGAACAACTACAAAGTATCAAATAGTAATAATGTATTTCGTGGACATGTGTCAACATACTGTATAAATCCAAAGAATGCAACACTGCAAAAAACAAGCAGGCAAAAATCAACAAATAACCAGTGACTAAAGTTCCGCTTTCACATATTTTGGCATTAATGACTTGATCTGACTAACGAATTCAGATTTTTCAGTACATCCTTTACACCGTTCTCCCCAGTCATCCAAAATTTTCTTCAGTTCCTTAACCCTTAATTTTGAAAGATCGACCGTTTTCCAATCAATCTGTTTTTCTAAAACAATTCAATTAGTCAAATCTAACCAAATAAAACTTTACCATATTTTAGTTCGCATATTTGACCATCCTTGCTTCGGAGACGTTCGCAGATCTTTTCAGGAGGCATGGAAAATGAGAGAGGTTTAGTAACCTCATTCATGATGAACGAGGCAGATTCTGGCAAGGCACCAATGTAGAAGCACTAAAGAACACCTGTATAATGACAATTCTTAGTAAACATAAAGCGTAAACACCGTTAATTTCGAATCTAACAACTTTCATAGCCGATCGAGGAAGCAGGCATGTTAATTAACAGTTTTCTAGCGCATGGATGCAAGTGTAGTACTGTACGACAGAGAAGGCCGCAAACACTTTTCAGCGGATGGGCATCAATTGCTACCACTTGAAAAGTGTGGGTTGTCACTGCTTTCTAGCATCTTTGGAAGTATGCAGCCTCTTCCCAGAAGACGATAAGACCAGATGCCATCATAATGACATTGATCTGAAAGTTTCAGTGTTAGTGCGTCTCATCCAAAAAATCAGCCATATCAGAAAGGCGATGCAGAGGCGAATCTCTACGATGATAATGTAGAGATTATCGTGGAATCCTCTCCGTCAAAACTACAATTTCCTCATGTAGGATGGTGGGTACACGTAAATCAACTAATTAATCTTTTTCTTAAGGAAACTAAAACCTTAGTTAGCAGGCGCCTTAACAGTCTCTCCTTTAAGAAAGAATCAAACTGTAATAAAATTAGCAAGGTCCAACTATCGAAGGATTAAATAACTATTTTAAACAGACGCTTCAACTCCAGTGTTAGCAATAAACCTTTCCCCCTCTTTGAAACTACAAAGCTTATTAACTACAAAACTACAAACAGTATCATAAACCAAAGTAATACCACTAATGCCAACAGTAACTTTCGAATAATAAACATTACCTAATTCTACTTATGCATAAAAATTTATGTGAAAAGTTACAATTACTTTACAGTTACAGTTTGAGATTACTTAACCTATATACAATATTAACGTTGTATATATGAACGTTAATTAACACAATGTTACGTTGTTAACCAATTCTGACAATAACAAGTCTCTAGGACGTGTTTACAGATTAACGTATAACTATGGAAAATATTACATAGGAGAAAGAGGGAAGACTCTATATGAAAGATTCATGGTTCAGGGCACCAAGCACTGCAGATAGTACGACAACTTAATGCCGACGCGTTTCGCTACGTAGACCGTTGCATCATCAGGAGAAAGTGGGAACACGGTCAGTAAGGGAACAAAGATTCACTCGTAAAGCTGGAGATCAACACTAGCGACATGCGGTAATAAGGCACTCAGGATAAGCCAAGGCCTCAACCCCTAATCAAGTCAAAGAACAATGCCAATAGATCTACGGGATTGTGCAATACGCAGTAAAGCAAGATCGCCCCCCCCCCAAAAAAAAAATCATTCGATTGCATCGGCATCATTAAAGAAAGGAACTGGTTGAAGACGTGTCAAAGCGGCATTAATAATGCCATCTTGAGAAATTCTGTCAACTGGGGAAAATGATACGAATTTTGAAAAGCCTTATAGCACCTGTTGACGAGAAACCAATTAACCGACAGCAGGAACCAAAGCCTCATCTTTTGGTCTCAAACGTTACAACAGCTGAGGACTACGAATTTCGAAAATCAACACTGTTCATCTTGAAGAAGGCCCGGGAGACAACCGAAATGTTGGTAGCAGTCAATAATCCCATGGACCAAATTGATCATGTATTCCTTCAGGTGGAAGTATGAAACTGATTAAGTTGAAAACTGATAATATTATTAGTATTGCGATAAAACTATAGTGAATGCTTGACTTTAAAATCGAATTTCTAAGGGTATTCACCTAAATGGTAGCATAAAACACTAAATATTTGGAGAATTAAGTATTGCCTAACCATGACTGGAAACCACTTCAGCGAAGAAATCTAACCTTCCTAGATGTAAAAATTATACACTGCTAATATTCTCTGGTTCGAGTAAAATTGGTTCAGAAGCAATCATGAACGAATTCAGCTGAAAATAAGAATGAAGCAAATGTTAACATACGAAACGACTTTCTTTTCCGGTCGCCTTTTCGCATTTCGACTTAATGAACTGCTCGATTTTAGCCGAATCAGAAATTCCCTGTTCCGACAGCTCCGTAGCTGTTTTCTTCAGGAAACCAACGCAAACTAAAACGGAGAAGAAATGACTAAACTGGAGAACTCCAATACGCTTAAAATCAAGAAGAAAACAGTACTGTACCTTCGCACGACTGATCTGCTGTAGCTTCCGTAATGCACGCTCCCAGCAGAAACATGCAGAGTAAATGAGTGAAATCACCGGTCATGATTCTACAACCCAAAAATGGCCTAACACAACAAATTTCACGATCACGACCGATAATTTAACATTATGCTGACGAGTACTAAAGGTAAAAGATATTTAGGTACACATAGTTGTACTTGCAAATCATTCTATCCCACTGTGCCCGTCGATCATTCGTAGAAGTTGTGCCTCAAAACCATTCAAACTGGTAAGCAGAATATCTTGAAGTCGTAGAAGGTCCGATGTATTTAAAATTTTAGTCGGCTCTTTTCAACTTCCAGAGTTTGCTTAGCGTCATATTACTGTTAATCTGCACCTGCGCCTACGTCAGAGCACTCTCGCCACGACTGCTGGACAGCCACAAGGAAGGGTAAGACGTCGTATAGCAGATATTTTCACGAACGTCACTTCAGCTCAGTTTAAACCTGTCTTAGTCGTCTTAATAGTTTCTTTAGTAAGCTAAACATGCTGGTTATATGTTTAATTTGATACTTGCATAGAACCATGACGGCGTCTGTTTTTCAGTTAGAAATATTAACTGTTAAATCAACGCGAGGAATAGAACGTGTAAGATTGTCGTGTTTAATTTATTTATTATTTATAAGTCAGTCTCTGTATTCTTGTACAGATGATGTCATCTGTCAGGTGGGAAAAGGAGAACTGCAGCAGTAAAGACTACGTATCAGATAGATGGTATCACACGCTCAGTCATTATAAGAACGGAATATTACGCTGTCCCACTTAATGTTCTATCATCGATTTGCTACCCGTTCTTCGACTAGTTCCACGGACGCACAGCTGGCGTAATTCTTTACTCATTGAAACTGTTTGTTCATTCCGTGATTAATACTGCGCCTCACAGTTTGAACCACGCAAATTCCTGCTGTTTCCCACTACCCCGCCATTTTATGCTTGCTGTATTCTCAACGAACACAACTCTTTCCAGAAAAGCATGAAAGGAGCATTTTTGCCAAGCAGCTTCGCTGTTTACTTAAAGGACCGTCTAGACTGATCTGATTACGTGAATTTTCTTTATTGCAAAAGTGCTTAAACCCCACTCATGAGGTTGTTGAAATTCTCCGTACCACCTTCGATTGAGACCGTTCTCTCTTATTTGGCTGTTTTGTCCCGATGATTATCTCTGTCGGCCCTCTAGTTTTTTCTGACCTACAACAAAAGGATTTTCGTCTTCCGTGCGTTGAGCCATTATGCGTATTTCTCGCGTCACTAAGATCGATCTGGAGGAAGTCGTTGATCGGATAGCGGCATCTATAGTCTGTGCTCGCGCG